AATCCAGGATGGTTCCAATTGAATAGATTGGGAATCTCTGCATGAATATTTTTTTCGTTTGCTGGCTCCGTGAATCATTCACCTCGGTCACCAAATCACCAAATAACTGAAAATAAACAAAATGAACATAAGTAAAATTTCGTACAAACTTCAATGAAAATTATCTTGTAATAATACAGGTAGAAATATGTGCGCGGAGTATAAATTTATTAAAAGGTTTATTAAAAAAGGTATGGGTTACAACCCATTTCGTCGTATTTATTCCCACAGATCACATAAACTCATAAATTATCAATTTTTAAAATTATAGTATGTCAGACCATTTTTTTACACACAGATAATGTTTATATATCCAAACAAACAGACACAAAAAACGAACAAACAAACGAAATATATTTTACCTGTTGTAAAAATGATCACGTCCACAAACGTTCCATAAATTCACACGTCCCACACCGCATAGTAAACCACTTGTTACCGAAGGTGGTAGCCAAAATCTTCCTGTGTACCATTTCAGTGATTCCGATTGGTTCAAAGACAGTTTGTTCGAAACCATCTTAAATGTGAAGGGGTACACATCAAAGCATATCACCAATAAATATCTGCAATAAAAAACGACCCAATTAGTAAAAAGAAAAGACAATTTTATTAAAAGAAAATGTTTTACTTACCAAAACAAAAAACAAATCATTTCTTATGGTATCATGACCATCATAATTGTCTACATATTTCACACAAACCCAAAGAGGAATGTACCTGAAAGAAAAGAAAACAATTTTAAATTATTCAGCTCATCAACAAACATTTTCTAACTTCTTACCTGAATATGCAGTCTAAGCATCACCTTTAGCAACAAATTGTATGAATGTTTTGTCGCCAAGCACAGACTTTTCCACTGGTTGTAGGGCCATAAACAAAGGTCCAAACTACCGGAGGTGTTCCATTATGTTAACAGAATTATAAAAATCAATTTTCTAAAAATAAAGAAAATGAAAAAGGGTTGTAAAAATGTGTAAAAATTTATAGCAAAGATCTACTTACCAATGCTTAACATTCCGAAGAAGTTACGCCATTTTTGACATCACATACATTGTGACGTACATAAATGTACAGCACATACATTGTGGTGTACATAAATGTAAACCGCATACATTTCTGCCAAGCCATAAAAATACCGCCAAAATGGATGTGTGTACCCATTCAAACAAATGAGACGGCATGAATGCCACTTTTGGCACCACACACGCACATTCAATTTTTGCACTAAAATATTTCTTATGGTTTTTCTGAAACAAGAAAAGAACAAAATCATTAATATACTTCGATAAATTGTTCAATTGTGAATGCTTACCTGTAGATTTGCGTCCCACGCCGGTTTCCATTTCCATGTATGCCCATTCCTCGTGGACACCAGGATTCCAAGGACTGGTCGCCCATTCATTCATTTATATTCTCTCCTCACCGCAATTTTAAACAAACAAAAATATCATGCACATCACCATGTCCATCGGTTCCTTGGTCATGATGATGTTTTGTTGCATGTGAATATAAATTTTTGTATAAAAATAAAATAAAAAAAAAACACAACCGGCAGCAATTATCCGAGATGATGTGTTTGCTGCTGCCGGCCAAAAAAAAAAGTGAGCCGGATACAGTAAGCTCAGTACAGCGGTTGAGAAATTCATGCGTTGCCATCTGGTCTGAAATTTAGGCCTGGCAAATACAACCCTGTCGAGTGTAGGGATCAAGAGGTAAGATAAAGGAAAAATGATAAATGTCGGAAAATGCGCGAGAATCTCAGAAAAGTGGGAAAATGGCATCTGGCTGCGGGGGTATAAAAGGCATAACGGGGGGAAAATTCGATCAAATTTATTTGGTGTTTGGTCGAGAGACTATAATTTATAACAAATTTTCAAAACAAAAAAAAAAACAAAAATCCCCAAGATAAACAAGAAATCCCCAAAATTTATTAAGACTTGTGTTTGTTTTTTATTGTTGAGTGCCTTATGCCTGCGAGCGAACAAAATAAAGTAAGTAGTGTAATTCGGTAATATTTTATGTGTTTTAATGTTGGTGTTTTGTATAGATCTCGCCAACATCCTCATCAACTAAAAAGGCAAGCATTGGCCCCTCCAAGTCGTTGCACGGAGGAGGTCATCCGAATTTTTTTTGGGGCTTATTCGGCAAAAAATATTTATGTGGCTCACGGTTTTAGAATAATTGGCTGGAAGACGGTTAAGCCCAAAGTGAAGACAGCACGCCAGCACAAGCTTGAACGCAGTTGGCCAATAAATTGATGTGTCTGTCCGTCCAAAAAATCCTGGAAAAATAAGTATCTGGAAACCAGGTAACCATTGTTTTGTCGAAATTTAAATGCCAATAGCCTGAGGGATCTGAAAGTAAAACAAAAAATGAATTAGTAATCAAAGACCAAATTAAAAACAAGCAAATCACCAAATGACAGAAAATTTAAAAAAAAAAACCAAACAAAAATATATTTACTAAATTTTAAGTGGTAGATTAAGTGTGTTATGTGTTAGTATTTAGTGATTAATATCTAAGATTTTGAATTGTGAGAATTTTTAACGCCTAACAAATGCGACAAGTGTAGGGTTACCCCAAATATCTTATTGGAAACTTGCATTTGCCTATTTTGGGGACCAAATGGTAATCTCCCCAATAACGACTTAAGAGAGCTCTTTTAGGTGAGGTAATAGTATAATAGAGTGGCCAGAAGGAGCCGTTTCAATAGATTGTGTGGGTAGTCTGAAACAGTGACTTATCGATGGTTTTAGGTGTTAGGAATTCAGAATATTGACTAAGTGTTTATGTTAGGTTTAAGTAATCAAGAAATAATGAAATTAATAAATATTGTTTATGTGTGAATGTTTAGATTAATATGAATTGCTAGTTGTTTTCTGTGAGGGAGGAAGATTGGATGATGTTGCAGTAAGGTGAGTGTGTGTGGAAGCAGGGGCCCTTTAAAATTAAGTGTTTATGAGGACGAAAAGGGTCAAGGTTGGGCGGGCGAAGTGCGGGAATAATTGACACCAAATTCCCTCGTTATGGTCGTATGTGTGTTGTCATTTTGTATTGTTGTTTGTTGTTCTATTTCCGTTTTCCTTCTTGATTGTTCGACCCCTAGGGCTGATGGTGGTAGGGTTGGGAATTCACCCCTAAAGCGGTGCCCCGACTGAGCTGGTTGGAACCCCACCAGGAGCCGCAGTAGGCGGTACGCAACATAATAAAGAAGAGGTTTTGCAAAATATAACGCGGGGACAGAACCTTAAAAACTATAAAAACCAAAATCCGACAAACAAATTATTTAAAAAAAAAATTCGCGAAACCCAATTTTTCTGACTTTGAAATTTATATGGTCCAGTAATATTGATCTAGGAACCAATATATGCAATGTGAATTCCAATAAGGGGGTCAGATTCAAAGATATGAACAGTTCTAAAGCAAGAGTAATAAAAACCAATACATGAAGTTGGGAGAAAACATCATTATTAGTCAAATCCTTTTGTCTTTTGAAAAACTGTGGTTGCTGGTGGCAAATACGCATTCTATATTTTATCTCCGATTAACACCATCAGTTGCGAATAAAATGTAGTAGGGAATAAACGGGTCGATCTATTTATTTTCGAAATAAGATGTATTTCTATTGCCAGAAAACCGTCGATATCTTTGAATCTGACCTCCTTAGTGCTATTTTCATAGTATATTTTGGTTCCTAGATCATTAATAATGAACCATAAAGTTTTCGAAGTTAGAAAAATGGGGTTTCGCGATATTTTTTTAAATAATTTGTTTGTCGGATTTTGGTTTCAATAGTTTTTAAGGTCCTGTCCTCGCGATATGTTTTGTAAAACCTCATTTTTATTATTCTTAACATATTTGGGATGTTTTGAATCCGCGACGACTATATTTAATACTCTGCTGTTGTGATTAGGACGAGAAATTACCAAATATTAAATGAAATATTGCTGGAGAATGTAATGAACGTAAATGTGAGAAAATACTCGCGAACAAATGCCGTGGTTTATTGGAATCGTTGCCAAATCACTTATAGTATATCGTTACCCGCAATGGTAACTATAAAAAGACCAAACGTGTTCTATATAACAATTTTTTCTAAAATAATAATAAAAAGCAAAATACTTTTTTGTGATAAACGTTTTTGGATTGTTATATATTTCGGCCGATATCTTCGAGACCAATAGGTCTTACGCTGTGATTCTTGCAGAAATATGATCTAAATATGTCCACAAACATACTCCATCATCCATAATTTTTTTTACATCTTTAGTTTTCTGGCTTTAGGCGTATTAAAATTCTCTGCCGATTTATGTGTATCCTTCAGATTGTTCATTTTTATGAAATTACGACAGAGATCGCAATATTTATGATAGAGCTCTGAAATTTTGCATAGACATTACTAGGATGTTTGTCATTGCAAATGGGATATATCGGTCCACGTTTTGATGTGTCTCTCATAAATAGTATTCGGTATTTTGCGGATTTTATATACGTTTCTCAGTCGAATTGATTGTAAATTGGTATTTTCTATCCTTATTGGGTGTCAAATCCCACTACCTAAAATGAATAATATTGAACCAAGTTTCAGGGTAGCCCCCATATTAGGGTCTCCCCATAATCCGGTATTTTGATGACTTTGGACACGTTTTTAACCAAATTTACTGTAATTTAGTATTTTGGGTTCTCATTGTATAGCACATTCTTGAATTAAAAAATGTTCACGATCCCCGGTCTGGTATAACCCCACTATTAGGTATTTAGTTCGGTTTCAGAACCTGTACCAATCTACAACTTACGATTTTCAAAACTGTTTTAGAAAACCGTTCTCCTATTCTAGTAAAAGTTAGAGAGATATAGAGGATAGAGCAAAATCATTCCATTATTTTTCTCAAATAATAATAAAAAACTTTATTAAAAAATCGTATATATCCAACGAAAATTTCTAAAAAATGCGGCATTATTTATATTTGTCTTGCCATGGTGGCCATACATTTGGTCAAAGAATTCTGAGCTATTAACGTATCCTTATGCGGTAATACAGCAATTTCAAAGAACTGATCAATGCCTTCCTTAAACATTGTTATGGCCTCCTCAACCTTTTGATCCTGCATATTTTGGGCAGCTTCACGATATAACTCTTCAATTCGAATCATTTTTGCCACACTCTCTTTGAGAGAGACATTTTTGCGGCAACGTACACAACGGACATCTTTGCTTAAATCCTTGGGGAATTGTAGGACATTGTTGCAATTGGCAGTAGGACACCTAAAAATATAAATTGCAATTAATTTATTTTATTCAATGTAAATCAGAAGATAGTTATTTTTTATTAAATTTCCTATGTGCGGCAATTTAATAAAAAAGCCTGACTATTTTGCAAAAACAAAATAAATTTGGTTTTATGTAAAATTATGATGAAAAATGTTTTCCTTTTCTGAATCCCAATTTGCACTGTTTTCGTTATATTTTAATACCTACCAAAATCTCACTTGCTTATCCAATTTCTGAATGGTCGGCCAATTCTCCTGACAAGCCATACAATTACAATCGAACAAATAGCGTGCCCTCAACGCCCGCTGTCTCTCCTTCAAATTAGCCTTTATAAACACCGGTCCATAATTTTCAGCAATAACTTCATTCGGCCGATGCAATTTAGTGGCGGCCAATACGAGTTTCTTTCCCACAAAATAACGTGCCACAGTTGGCCAACATTCATGATTGAAATATGCCGCCGTACCATACAATCCAGCACCAATATAGACAATTTTTGAACCCTCGAATAGATGATTATCAGTTGTTACGGTTTGATAAATTTCATGAGCATTATACTGTAGAACTTCCAAAAGACCTAATAGAGCTGTGGCAACTTGTAATTCCACAGCAGTGGGATTGACACCTTCCGTTTTGCGGCGTCCAAAATAGTTGGCCTTCTGCAGGGTTCGCAAAAGGAAAGCGGCCATTAGGGAGCGCTGTAGCAAGTCATCTGCTTGCCGTGAGTCTTCGTGGGTGCAGAGATTTTGATAAAGCTGTGCGGAGACTTTTAAGGCACTTTCTATATCTTTGGCCTGGGTAAATACTCGCAGGGCAATGTAACATAAGATAGACATACCGGAACCTAAGTTTTGAAATAAGAAAACAAATGGAATTTAGAAATTTATTTCTATTATGCACCCTATTGCAAACATTTTGGGAAGATATGAATTCCCGCTTCCAAAAATAATGATATGGGAAGGAGGACACATTTCCCAACATTTTTATAATAGGGGTTATTGTATCACTCTTACCAATATACAGATCCATAAATTGACATTCATAACGATGATAAGTGCTGCAAGCTTCGTTCATGCATTGTGTTGAACAAAATGCCATGCCCGAACAATTTTGACATGGTATTGGTATGGACAGCCTAAAAATTAAAGATTGAAGTTTTATAAAGGGTTAATGGAAAATATTTCTTTGTGGCCGCCCCGATCTTACTTTGAAAAACAATGATGACAATGACTGCCATAGAATGCAGGCAGTAAACAGGCCGCCACTGGATCTTCACTTAATACCACATCGCCTGTTTTTACTTCATTATTGGCCACAATAAAACGACCCTTATCTTTGGTTTCAGCCAATTTCACCAGACTTGAAGCGCCCTTTAAATCAGCATGCTCACCATGACTGAGAGCAGGTGCCGCTACTGGAGATTTCTTTTTCACTACCTTAATGTTTGGTAATTCTTGGCGACAAGCATCGATTAAGGCATTGCCACCACCCGAAATGGTTTCTGCTAGTTTCAAAGAAATTTCAGCACGTTTCATTTCGCCCATTGCTAGGAAAGAAAAGGAAATGGGAATTAGTTGGAGGGCAATTTTACATTTTATGGCAGAATCATCCCTAGTGATGTCTGTCCCATGATACTGAACATTTTACATGGTTATAATTTCCAAAACTTACTTGCATAGGCCTTGGCCATTTTCAAATAGTAATCCACACTGTTTTTGATATCCAAACCATTTGTTGCCGCCAACTTTAGGTCATTTATGGCAGCTTCACCTTCTCCCAAGGCAATCAGAATTACAGCACGACATCTTAAGGCTAAAGCCAAGGTTAGACCTTCATCAATTTGCATATCAACTCCTAAAAAAATACAAAATATATATTAGTAAAGGCAGTGGTAGATCCCATTTTAATTCATCACAATTACAAGTTGAATTATTTGAATATCAAATGTAATAATTTGAATTACAGTGGAAATAATTCGAAATAAAAGTGTAACACTTTTCAATTCATTCTTGTAAAGTAGGAAACCAATTGGTCTAAAAACCTATATATGGCAATCGCTTTTAGTTGTAAAAAAAAATACAAAAATGTCCAAACAGAAACCTGTTGCTGTAAACCCACCAAAAAATCAATACAAACAAAACAGGCACCCCATCACGTTCTTACCTTTAGCGGGTGCACGCATAACAGCTAAATTGGCCAATGCCAAGGCATGTTGTAGTTCCTCCTTTTTCTGTGATGATGTCCACATTAAATGATATTTGTCAGCCTGTAAGCGGCGTTGTGAGGAGAACACAGCATCTTTCATCTTAAACACGGGCACCACATTTTCCAAAACACCCAATACGGGATCACATATTTCACGGTCACTGAATATCGACAAAATACGTGCCTCATTCGATTTCAAAGTACCAAAACAGTTTTTCAGCCATTTTTCGCCACACGATTGTTTCACCTCCAAATAGAATTCATTAAAGAAACCCTTTTTATCCGATTGTACTGTGCGAGCACTACAAATTTGTTGATACATATTATCGGAGTTATCCATTTTTAGTATTCGTTTTTTTTATTCAGAATTTGTTCTAAATTTTCTTAAATTTTTTTAGATATATTTCTCTTCTTGTTGTATTGAATAACCACAAAATTTTGGACAATGTTTTCTCCCCAGCGTATAAATCTTAAATGAGAAAACATTCAATCCAAATGCGCTTCTTCTTCGGGTACTCTGTGTCGGTCGGTTGTGGATGCTAAAAATAAAAATTCTCATTTTTCATGTTTTCTCTGCGTGCATCGCATTTATAAATACCCAATCAGACGGAACACATATGGTGGAAATTGTGAATGAAAATGCCGAAATGAAAATTTTCATTTATTCGTACTCGCGGCCGTTAGAAGGAAGGTATTTTGAAATTTCGTTAGAAAACAAAAGAACAAAATTAAATCAAATTTATATGCAAAATCGTTTCATACCTCGGTTATTAAAACAAGTAAAATAGGATGCAAATATTATGAACCCATTTTAAAAATATGCGACAATGTTTTTTAACCTTCAAGAATTCAGCACCTTCGGCTGGAGAATGCTACAAAAACTATACGAACATTTTGGACCGATTTTTAATACTATAAATCCTAGGAGTGATAGCATTCCTGACGAGACATACGAAAGTGGTTATATGGACATAAAATTAACACTCTTTTGAATAATATGGATTTAATTCTAAAAGCGCCATCTATGGGGAATTTTCAATTGACCTGCTATGTTTTACAAATTCATTGGCAAGAAATACAGAAAACGAAACATTTAGATCTCCCACTTAATCAAAAGTGGATGACGGTATAAAAACGTTCAAGAATATGTTTTTGAAATAGTTTTTTCTACAAATTTCAAAATTAGTATAAAACAATTTCAACAGTTCCCATCCCAAAGGAAACTCCATAATTATTTTTCAAAACACAAAACATAATAATTGTTTCATTTTTATTTATAATGAAATTTATTTTTAATTTAAAATGGAAAATATTTAATATTCAATTTTAGGTTTTTGTAATTAAATTTGTATTTGAAATTTTGAAGGCATTTCTATAAATGAGTAGGACTGAATTTTGATTTTTTGGTTTTCAAAATTGGAAAAAAATTCAAGAGTAAATCAAAACAAAAAAACCAAAAAAAGTTATATATTTTTAGCACAATATCTTTGTTTATTTATTTTTTTGGATAGATATTTAATTAGTTTTAGTTTTTAGAAATATTATGGACAAAAAATATATATGGTTTGTAATTCAATTTTGGTAAATTTTCAATAACTGCAAGTTTGTTTATTTATTTCATTTGAGGTTTTTGGTTAAATATTGTTAAAGAATGTAGGCTATATATGTATAGCTTGGTATATAGTTTTATTTTTTTTATATTTAACTTTTTTGTGTGTATTTTATTTTTAAATTTTAGTTTAAGATTTCTTGTTTATTTATAATAATAATAATATCGTTGAGTTTCTTTTGTTTGTGGTAGTTTTTTTAGTTAAGATTTTCACTTTTTGTCTCTTTTCGGTTTTTTTACGAAAACCCAAAAAATATTTTTTTCACATTTTACTTTCATCAGCCTCATAAAAATGCCACTTAACAAAATGTTGGAATTTTGTTAGAATTACAAATGAATAAAGAAAAAAATACTCGTTTTAATTTTTGTTCTTTTTTAATTAAAAAATTGTTGCTATATTTTGTTATATATTTATAAATATTATTTTTTACATATATAGCCCAGTATTATAAATTATAATTATAAATTTATGGTTTGTAAAAAAACGGACTTTTGTTTTGTAATTCAATTTGTGTCAGTGGTATTCTGTTTTCTTTCCTTTTTTGAATAGAGAGGATTAGCATTTTATTTATATAAATTACAAATAAATAAAATAAAAAAATAACAATTATTAAATACAAAGCATTTAAATAAATATATGTTGTTTTTTTTTTTTAATTGTTTATTTTTTCAATTTATTTTATTTTTTTAATAAAAAACAAAATTGTATTTGAATTTTTTGTTTCTTTTTTATTATTATTTTCATCTATTATATGTAAAATATATTAGCAATAGTATCACTTAGGAAAGTTTTTCTTCTCTCTGTTTTTTTTTAGGTTTTCTTTCTTCTTGTCTTTACGGGTTTTCGTTTTTTTTTTTCTTTCTTTCTTTTTGTTGGGCAATCATCATTGAGTAATTTCATTTATAGTTTCTATCTTTTTTCTTTTCATATGCATTGATTTCCTGTTTTACTTTTATCGTAGTTTTTGCTTGGAAACATTACTAAGAAATACAATACAAAATTTTTGTTAAAAATAAATTAAACTATATTAAGGCTAAGTTAAGTTTACGAGTAGATTACAAGTAGAATAGAATTAATTAGGCATATCTAGAGACATAGAAAGTTTTGTGTTTTTCTTGTTTTGTTTCTCATATAACTATAGTAATTATCATAAAAATAATCATTATAGTAGTGTTGCGGTAACAGAAGAAGAGACTTATTAAGGAATCGAGGATATTTTTTGTTTAGACTTAATTAAAAAAGAGAGCAAGCACAGCTGCTGATTTCTTCTCGGATTTTTGTTCAGAATTTATTTAAGGTTTTTTGTTTTGTTAAACTGCTACTGCTACAATAATACACTGCTGTACTACTGCGGCTGGTCCATGGCAAACAAATCACGTCATATTGACACCCAAACATCTGCTGGAGTACTCGTAGACGACATAACTGATGGAGACTGCAGGTAAAACTTTAATGAAATTCGGTGTAATGCCACGGTAAAGACCACAAATGCCTTCGGTACGTATGATTTTACGGAAAACACCCATCATATTGTCATCGTTGGCGGCACCAGCTTGCTTCAAGGGTATGGCACCCATAGGCGGACTTTGTTTCGATTTTGCAACGACTGAAAAGGAATAAAAGGAAAAAGGTTGATTTATAAAATTTGAAAAAAATAAATATAGATGAAAATAAAGTTCTCAAAATGTCAAGACTTCGGAAGAAATGTTTGAATATACCACTGGTTGTGTGAAGCACCCCATTTAAACCTAAAGCCATTTCGATATCATTTTTAAAGATGATCGAAATAGCTTTGGGTTTAGATACATCCTTCTTTATAAATGTAACCTCAATTATTGAGTTTTGACAAATTTGGGAAATTTTCTTCAAGGAATTTGGACATTTATCTGATCTAGCGAAATTCTCCCAAAAAATATCATTGGAAGATATTTCCATTTTACTCACCTTGCGCTTGTAGTCGTGTCCTCACCAATGCCAATGGATATGAACACACCTGTCCCAATGTACTCGATGCACTGCCACATGCCAGCAATACCAAAAAGCTTGGCTGTTCCGTGTTATGACTACTTAAATATTTCTTCTTTAGCGTTTCATAAACGGCCAAATCAATACCCGCATACGGAATAATACCCAACATATTTGGAATGTAACCGCGATAAAAGCTACGTACACCCTCGTGTATGTAGATTTTTTTCGCCGCATCCAAAATGCCCGAATATTGGCCAGTTTTGCGTAATGCCAAGCGTGTCTTTAATACTTCCATGGGATAGATGACCGTCTGGGAGATGCCACCGGCGGCGGCGCCTGCAATAAAACGTTCACCAATTGTCATTTGTCGTTTGTCGTCGCCACGTATCAGTCGTTTGATTTTTTCATAGGCGGCGAATTTTAATGCGGATTCGGGGGCAATTTTGAGAACGTTAATGCCATTGCCGCGCCACATACTTCGTAGGCCGCCCTCTCTTAGCATATATCTTAAACTATCTGAGATTCCTGTCTTTTGTGTTTGAACCTGAATGAACAAGAAAAGATAAATTAGATAAATCTGTTTAAGAGGACATTGTTTGTTTTTTGATAGTTACCTGCAAAAACACTTTTATTCTATCTAAGGGTGCAGTACATGTACGTGATACAGCGCCAGCAACACCGCCAGCTGCCAAATGACGCCACCACATGCCACTTTGTAATTCTGTTGGTGTAAAATCATCAGGTACGTTCATGTCCTCACCAATATCGAGGTACTAAAATTAAAGAATAAACAAATTTATAAAATTAATATTAATTTATATATACAAAATTAGAGTTTAGAATAGCTAACAACAATATTTATATTATACAATTTAAAGCATACATACAGGCTCATCTTCATCTTGAAGTATTAGAATCATTTTTTCAAATTCAAACTAAAGAGATCACAACGGTAATTTTTTGGTGATATTTATTTATATTGGAAGAGAGAAAAAGTTTGATGGGTTGTGTGTTTGTGGTGCTATCTATAATGCTGCTGCTGTTGCTGCTCTATGCAAATGACACGCGCAAGCAATTTATTTGATATTTTTTATCAAAACATCTATCCACAGTCCCAGCACAGCTGTTGTCTGATTTTATTCAAAATTCACAAGATTTTTATCACAAAAAAAAAAACAAAATAAATTATTATTAAAAAAGGGAAAATTATTATTGCAACCACAAAATCACGTAATACAACGACATTATATGCAATGAGTTTGCTTGCTTTGTTGGCTGCCTAGCTGGCTGGCTGAGTTGGTTGCCTGGCATGCGCTTAATAATGACAACACATCAGAGCACCGCCGCACGAGAAATTGTTATGCACACACCACAATAATAATGCATGGCTAAAATCAAACTGAAAATTGCCAGTACAAAAATGAAATAAAATTAACGAAAAAATTAACAAAAACAACAGCAACAACAATGGAAAATTGCAAAAGAAAAACGAAATCTGTTAAAACAGAGTGAGAGAGAAGTGCCGAAATACGCCATAGCATGTGAGAGCATAACACAATGCAATACAATTAAAGAGTTCATCACATGGCTAAGAGACTCTCTTCCTTTTTGGTACATTTATGCTACCACTAAAGAGAATATATTAATGAATGGAATAGATGAATGGATCTATGTGAATGATATAAACAAAGAACATGTAAGAAAATTACAAATTAATTTTGTTACTAACAAAAATTAAATGTTCTTCCACTGCTCTCTATCTTGACATTAAACACGAGAGTCGCACACACTTGCTCTCAATTTATTTTAACCATAAACATTAAAGAAGATGTACTTCGGACTGTATGCAAATATGATCATGAGGAAGGAAACTGATAAGAAATAAATGACCATTCTCAATAATGAATGCATTTGATGAGAACATAGAGAAAAGGCAGTTAAGAGAGCCTTAACAGTGTGTAAAAAGGAATATTTGAAATGTTAGATCAAAATTGCTTGTAAGAGAATAAATAGAGGGAAATGTAAACAAGTCCGCGAACTTATAGCATGGTAGAAAATCGTTTTATATTTAATTAAAATCCTTATTTGCTTTAAAATATTTATTTTCGACTATAAATGGAATGGAATTAAATTTTTTTTTCTATTCCAAATTATTTTTTTAATACTTTTGTAATTATTGAAAATGCTAATTTTTGAGTTCAAAAATAATAAAGATGATCAATAATAATTGAATATTCCATATACATTTTTTATCAATCCAAAAAAATTGCAAATTAAAACATGGCTATTGTCCGAAAAGCTGATACAAAACATATATAGTATTTCATCAGCCAATTCGACTGGCTGTCTGAGTGGCTGTAGAACGGCGGGTCGATTACTTTTTTTCTACGCATTAACAAACAAACAGCAAATAGTGGGGGTTCTTTGTAAATTAATCTACATATGTTACATACATATACATATTTGTCAAGCAAACATTGGAAAAGGAAAAAAATAAGAAAATTGAAATAAGGTTTTCAGGTTATTGAAAAACAAAGATGATGGTGAATGATATTCAGGATTTATTTAAAAAAAATGAAAATTTTATATATTTTTCACAAGACTTTTTTTAATTTTTCTATTTCTTCACGTGATATGTCAGGTTCATTTTATATTACTTTCATATTTCAGACAGTCATTAAAATAAAATATTTCTTTTGTGATAAGTCGACAAAACAATCTTATCATGACTTTTTTCTAAACACCAACAACAAACAACTCAATGAGCGTCCGAGACATATGTTTGCACTTAATAATAATAAAAAATATATAATAGAAAAAAAATGAAATTAAAAAATATATATAGTTGTCTTCCGCTATATATGTGTAGATGCGTATATACATTAAAAAAATATTTTCACTTGCAAATTTGCCAATTTTTTTTTTTTTTTGCTATTTTATTTTTATATATGTACATATTACGTTAATTACGTATTAGCATTTTTTCTTGTGTGTATTGGCTTTGCACTTTAGCCAAAGATCGATGGCATATGCCGGGGAAAATAGGAAAAAAACAAAACAAAAACAATGACGTTAACTATTTTTAGACATGGGTGTAGATAAATTCTCAGCAAATATATATGTTTACACTATTTGACAATAATTTCTTGGGGAATTAAGTAAAAATTTCCGTTGAAAAGTTAAATATAGAAATGGAAAATTTTCCAAGAGATAATAAGAAAACATTTTTTTATTATTTTTCTATTAAAAACAATTAAAAAAATTTTCAATATTTTTATACTTTTTCAAATACTATTTTTTTTAATTATTATTTTTTATTTTACAATATGTTTTTTTATTGTAGATTATAATTTTTTATTTTAGATTTGTTTTAAGTATTTTTTAATTTCTTAAAACAAATATTTTATTTTGTATTTATTTTATTTATTACTGTCCAATTGCTAAAAATTATTAACAATTTATCTCCCAATAAAATTTTCCATTAATAAATTGTAAATTTGTGTAAACACATGTATTAACAACAAATTGCATTGAAATTCAAAATATTTACCTAGGCAAAATATTCTTTGTTAATATTATTATATAGCCATTGTATGCCTGTTTTGTTATAACATTGACATTGGCACTTAAACGGTATAATTCAATGTTAACACATTGTTGCTTTTGTTCTTGTTTTTTTGTTTCATGCCAAAAGAAAATCAAATTTCCTTGACTTTTTGCCAGTTCGCAAAAAAAAAATTTCTAATGGAATTTTAATGCCTTGGCGAATTTGTTTTTTCTTTTTTCCTATCACAAAACGTAAAAGTGATTTTAACAAACAAATATATAATTGTTATTTATTTAACACAGCCATGTCATGTTACCCGCATATCACGAGAAAAAACAGGCCCGCAACCAGCACCTCCCATCAAAACAATTTTATTAACACCCCACCATCATCACCACCAACCACACCAAAGGTTTGTGATTTTTTGTTTTCGCCAATTATTGTGTCTGACATTGACAATAAAATTCTGCCCTATACCCAGACATTTACCAGTAATATCTGGAATTTTCAATTTTTAGATTGGGTTTGTTTGTTTGCTTTTTTCTAATCAATCTTAATTGAGAAAATGTAATTAAATATAATGGGTAAATAATACTAATTGGTAAATATGAACAATTTTGAACAAAAGAAAGGGGTTTTCATAAAAAAATAATTGATTACTGAATATTTTGTAGAGTTGTGGAATTAAAAAAAGGATTTTTGTCAAATAATTACCCTTTCTCAATTATTTCAGCAATTTTACGAGGTAATTATTATAAAAAAAAAAACAAAAATATTTTTAAATCAATAAAATTTGGAAAAAAAAGTTTTTGTTTTATAATATTTACTATTCTCAGTCAATTTTTCGATTATAACTGCAATTATTAAGACATAACTGTTTATCTCACATTATTTCTAAGAGAAAACAGCGCAAAGAGAAGTACAAATTGTTCTCTCTTTGATTTTAATTGTTTCGTATAGTATTCTAATAAAAATTATGCTATTTTTAAATCAATTTAAACAAAAATAAAACAATTTACAATTTCATGTTCAATTGTTGTAATTTATTAGAAAATATCAAGTATTTCTTATAATTAAATATTAATTTTGAAAAGGGCGCCAAGTAGTGATGACTACCTCTGTCTCTCTTCTTGGCACATAAATAAATAAATAAACGATAATTAAACAGGAATTTAACAAATTTAAATAAAAAATCCTTTTACAACAATTTGACAGTTTTTGTTGTTAAATTTGTTGTAAATAAACAACCATTTGTTTAAGTAAATAAAATCATGGAGTCTCAACAAAGTTGGTCTATCTATCTCCTTCTTTTGTGTGAAATATGACAACACAAAGTAAAGGGCAATTAAAAATTGCTGTTAAATAAAACATATTTTAGATTACAACAAATGAGTTGAATTTGTTGTAATTTAAGCACAAATTGTTATGAATATATTTCCCTTTATTAACATTTTTTTCTTTTAAACCAAAAAAAGTGCCTCCAGTAGTCAAGTTATGTTTCTCTTTAATAACATGGCTTCATTGGATTTCAAAGAAGAGAACAAGAGAATAAATTAAACAACCTAATCAATTGCTGAGTAACCATCACAAAGAGTACAAAAAAGAGCTTGTTGAATGTTGATACATATATGAAACAAAAACCTGTTGTGAAAACTTTGGCAATTTTTGTTTAACACTTGGCAACAAAATGTTAAAAAAAATCCATGTTTCTCTTTTTGTTGTTGTTGTTGATAATGGCCTCAATTGCGGTTTGCAGTATTTATGCAATGATGTGAGCGTTCCAAAAACGCTGTGCAGAAAGGCAACAGGTTTCTTTTTTTGGAATGTGAAATTGAATTGAAAAAAAACGGGGAAACTGAATGGTTGGAATTTTGTAAACAACAAAAAAACTTGTATTTTTAAATACAATAAAAAAGTTAAACATGACAGAAAAATATCATGACGTTTGTTTTTGTTATTCCATATGAGGTGAAGTCACGGTGATGATGATGATGCTGCTACCCACGGCATGTCTCATACGTGAAAAAAATAAGCATTGCGTCAATGCCTGGTTGTTTGTCTGGTCACAGAGATTATTATTAACTCTTTCATCGCTACATGTGTGTGTGTGTGTGTGTGTGCATGTATTGTTATTAACAAAGTAAATAACAGGCAAGTGAATAGAGGTCGCTGTTTACGCAGACAAGCCCCCCAAACAAATGAATAATCAACCAAAAAAATAAAAAA